ACCTCAGTTAGGCACTGAACTCCCCATTTCACAGATGAGAAAATTGAGGATGAGAGAGGCTGTGTAATCTTCAAAGGACCACACAGGTAGCAAGGGAAAGAACTTGGAACCTAGGCAGCCTTTGTGCAGTATAGACTCCTCACCTCTATACTACCCTTCCTGTTAAGGCCAGTGAAAGAAAGAAGATACAAGCGTGACTGGGCACTGTCTTGGTCTGTATGTGTGTGAGAGAGAAACTGGGAGACATGGAGCCAGAGAGATGGAGTGAGAAGGCAGGTATAAGCTTAGCGTGGTGGCCACTAGGAGCCAGAGAAGAGAAAGGAGCCAGAGCAAGCAAGTGGTTTGCATGCTGTTTTGTCCCTTGGTGTCCCTGATAAGCACAGGAGTGGATGCAGAAAGCAGGGTGACTGCCTTCTGAGCAGTTCTGCAAATCTGCTGGCATCTGTAACAGGGATAGGCAGGAGACACTTTCCCAAAGCCCCCCCTCTCTTCTCCAAACTGATTCAGAATAGTCTGCTGGATGCAGACTTGCTCAGATTAGCAAAGGTAGAAGAGCCCCAAGGAAGCCTTGCACATAGGCTACAAGGACAAGGGTGGTGATGGGGTCTGGGAACATAAGAAGAGAGGAAAAGACAGGTGAGGAGTCCTCCAGACAGTGCCCTCACACAGAACCACTCCACATCTCCATGACATAAACTAGCCCTCCTTCCACCAGCTCTACATCCTTGGCACTATTGTGCCATCCTAGGGATGAGAGGATCCCTGCAGAAGAGGGACTGCAGCTGATCCGGCCACAAAATTATCAGCTCCTGACCCAGCCCTGGCCAGTCCTGAGTGTGCCCTAGTTGGGGATCCCCTTAGAGGTAGCCCCTAAGACAAAGATTCAAGTTCATTTGGTAGCTGAAAGGAACACAGAGAAGAGCCTGGGGAAGAGAGAGGAGCAAGGCAGTCAGTCTTAAGGGCATCTTGCCAAGTAGTTCAGACCCACTGGGGAAGCCATAGGAGCCCATGTAGAACACACAAGGGAGAGCAGAGAGCAGGGACAGGTGCACACCACCACCATCAATTGCTGGCTGAGGGCTGCTGAGGTAGATGTGGCTGGTGATTTCACTGTATTCTGAGCCTTCCACATGAGTGGCAGAGCAGGAAGAAAAAGCTCCTGGGCAAAATGCAGGAGCCTGCAGTTGGAAGTCAGACAAATGGGCAGTAAAGTGATAAGGACAAGGGCCGTGGGTCCCAAACTTGACTGTGCATCAAAATCACCTGGGCTTACCCCACCCCTAGAGCTTAAGGGTGGGGATGTCAGTGATGAGGATTTGCATCTCTAACAATTTCCCAGATACCAAAGGTTGGGTCTGGAACCACATCTTGGGAACCATGGGGCTCAGCTGATTATGGGCAGGGCGCTGGCCAGTAGGCCTTGGGAAACTCAATTCCTAAGATTGGCAGAACTCAGAGACAAAGGCAAAGAGGTAAGACACAGTCTGTTCTTCCCTCTGCAACAGAACTCCTCCTACCTCACTCAAAGTTTGTGTGTGGGAGAGGCAACTGCTGTAGCCAAGGCAAAGGTCACTCCCTCACAGTCTTCACAGTTACCTCCCTGTGAGTTCCATTCAGGTATTTTTTTTTCCTGGGTGTGGCCTAACAAGTTTAGGCCCCAAGGGCAAAGAGCACAAGCATTTCAGAAGGTATCCAACTTTGGGTTATGTAATTGAATTCTTCTGGGAACTAGTCTGAGCCTTCTTTAGGAAGCTGCTTCTCATAGTCTGACCCAGAACTGGTCAGGGTGGCCAAAGGTGACCTGAGTCCCTCTCCTGCCCAGCCTCAAAAATCATTATGTAGTGACCTTGAGAGTCTCCTCCTCTGCTTCGGAAAGGGTGAATCCTCCAGAAGACACTCCCCATATCGTTCTTTTATCACCTTATGCTCATTCAACAGCTATAATAACCATAAAAATTACAGGCCTCCCATCCTTTGCTGCTTGTTTACAGTAAAAGCACACACAGGGAACACAGAATCCTAAGCAAAAATTGGTGCTTATTTCATAGTCCTAAATCTACACAATAGGTTTCACAACACAAAAGCACCCATGACCTCTTAAGAAAAGAGCAGGAAAAGACAGGAGACAGAGATAACAAATTTACTCTTCACAGAAACAGAGATATCTACATTTATCTTTTACAGTGATCAACCCTAGTGAAGAGCACAACAAAGCCACATCCACACACTTCCATTTTGAGACAGGGTCACTGCCACAAAAGGGAAGAGGTTAGGCCTCAGACCACTGTGGGTATTTGAGTATCTGAACCACTCAGTTCAGGAGGTTGGTCATTACAGAATGCTAAGGTCAACACCACTTAGGAGGCGCTTTAATTAATTGCACTTCAGAGCTTCATGGTGAGGGAAAGAAAAGCTTCAGCCCCTCACAAATCGGGACATTTTTTTCAGCTTTCCCAATGGGATGCCAAGTGACTCAGCATTGGCCAGTGTGGGCCCTATTATTGATGAGAAATCTTCCGCCTGGGTGATATACTGCATACAACACATGCCCAAAGAACAGTGCCAAGTCATACCAGGAAGAGGCGAATTATTCACCTCCACTTCAAATGCAAGCAAATCCTTTCTTAATGCAGGGGCTACTCCTTATCAGAAAGACAAAGCCCAGAGATAGTCAGAGATTTCCATCTAAGATTTAAGGAATTATTAGGCAGAGCCTCTCCTTTCTTGTTGACTATTAAAAGGCAATCAAATTGAGGACAGCAAAGAAAAAGGGCAAGAAAAAAAATTTTTTTTCAAAAACAGCCCCAGGGTAGAAAGCTGCATTAAAAGCCTTCAGCTCATTGTTCTTTGTGAGTACCATGAGCTCCACCTAGAGGTCCTCTTGAAAACTGCAAGTCCATTCAATTTGGAAAAAGAAAATCTACATTTTCTGGAGTCCAGGGCAGGACCCACCTCAGATAACTGCTGGAAATTCTTAGACAACATCCTTATTTCTTATCTTTCACTAAAGGAACTGCTCTGAACTCTGAAAGTCAAGATATACTCGGAGAACCGAGTGAAATCCAGTAGGACAATTGGCTTTGATATTTGTATACCTGTCAAGGAACTAGTGGAGTTCCTGGCAGATTGAACTCAGCTCAAAGAAAGCAGAGTGTTCAAAGAGTACTTTTAGAAGAAAAACTGACAGCTCTCATTGAAGTAAAATAGAAGACTGGAGAGGAACTCAGAGGGCAAACAGGAATATGTCTAATATTTGAAGGACCAAGAATAGTTCTCCTTCAAGAAGGACCTATGTACCACTTGCCCAGAAGGCCCAGCTATAAGGCACCTTCTTCCTTACGCAAATCAGAAGATTTCTCTGAGGCAAGCTCAATTCATACTTCTCAAAGAGCTGACTACAGATTCCAGAATATTCCCCTGGTATCCATCTATATACAACACACAGGGAGATAAACACACACACCCTCACACTCCACCCCTCCACATCAGTGGCTCTGTATTAATTCATACATGCACTGCCCAGTCCATGACGAGTCATGCTAGGACAAAGAGCTCCTAATATGCTGAGGGTTCAACTGTCCAGTGCAAACACATTGTGTCCTAGATATCACAAGCTAGTTTGGCAAATAAATGAAGCTGTCAAAAAATGACAATATGTTGGTTCTGAAAGTTTCATCTACCATCTGGAGTGCTTCCCATTACAGCCCATGCACTTGTTCCTTCATCAGCCTGTGCCTTGCATGGCTTAAGACAGCTTTGACAGATCTTAGAGGTGGGTAGAAAACCAAAACTACCTTTTGTTTTTCTCCAAAATCTCCCCCCCACCCAAGTTCTCTCTTCATGGTAAACATTCAACAGCCTTTTCATATCTACTGACAAAAATATCTATGACAAGGTTTATCAATCTCAGGAGTATTAAAACTTTGGAAAATATCTTTGCTAAACTTCTGCTTCTTCCCATTTCAATAAGGCCACCCATTCTCAGAGTGTTGTCCTCTTTGTTTCTTGACCACTAGGCTTGGGATGACCTAGTGTTACTCTAAGAAGAGTTCCCTTAGCCTGTCTAATAGATAACCACAAATACTCAGACTTGGTCCATGACAGCAGACATTGTTGGCAAGGAACCCAGCAAACAGTAGCATATTCAGGCACCCCCAGGTGACTACTATCATCAGGAAAAGTTTCAAAACTCTTCTCAAAGAAAAAATGCTCTTAATTTCAGAGACTCGGAGCTAAAGAGCAGCACCCATGAAAAGCACAGCTGATGTGCCCTACCCACTTCAGCTCCATCTCAACCTAGAATTCAAGATGAACCCTATTCTTTATTTTTAGCAGCATAGCCATTATACTGTCTTCATTTATTCTCTTGTCCTATTGCATAGTATCAGAAAAATTTACAAGGCCCAGCAAGTGCACACTTCTATCAGGAAATGTATTTGTATTCCTTCACAATGAGAGGTTGCCACTTGTCTGCAGTTAATAAATAATTATGCTCTTTGGATCATTTGTGCAAAATGATGTGTTAGGGAATAGATCTGCTTGGTTATAGGAAAGGATTTACCTCAGGACATTTGCACACATCATGCACACAGCAGAAGGAGACATGGCCAATGTAGGTTTTTCTTCTTTGCATCTTGAGGGCTCTTGTGCCAGCTGCTCCCCCATGACTCCCTACTACTCTGCATTCTGCCATAACCAATGATGGTTTATGGCAAAATTCACTAGACAGCAAGCCATGTGCTTTTGAAGACAGCAATTAGGAGAGAGGGAAAGGCTGGATTACATGGCTTTTGGAAATGCAGTTAGAGAAAGAAAAAGTCAGACCTTATTTTCTCTTACCTCCTGGTTATGAGATCTATGTGCTCATTCAAGAGGATAGACCTGACTGTGGGGTCATTCAGAACCAGCAGCTCAGTCAATATAAAAATCAACTGCACAGTCAATGTCAAGCATGAAAATCAAACTAAAAGATGTATTTTTTCATAAAATGTCCTCCTTACCTTTTCTTTGGCTTTCTTTTTTGTTCCTGTATCCATCCACTCATTTTCTTTCTCGAGCATGTCAATAAAGGCCCAGCGAACACCCTCAATCAATTCCTCCATCTACAACAAAATACCCAAAGAAGCAGAGTCAAAGCCAAAGTCATCAGACAAGGTTTTCTGGATCAAAATCAGCTTGCATGAGGAATACATTAAGAATCAACATGGTGAGAAAGGTCTTTTCAACTCAACTCCACCACCAGAAGATAATTAACCATATTTCTTTCCATAAGAATAATATGATGGCCCAGCTGTGAAAGTATTGTATGGGGAAAGGAATTTGCCAGAGGATATGACAAACAACTAACTTAGTCCTTCCTTATCAAGGGAGCAACCAATTTCAATCGTTTTAATAAGGACCTGAGAGAGACAAGCAAAGGCATAGGCTTTCAGATAAGTGTTGCAGAAGCAAGTGAGCAACAGAAAGAGATCTTGTGACAGAGAAACAAGCAGGAGAGCCAGTACCCCAAAGGACACTTCATCACATCAGTCAGAGTTGTCAATTAATACCCCAAAGCTTTCCAAATTTAATGCCAGTGGTTAAAACAAACACTTAAATGGTTTTCTTAATCAATTTCCTACCCTCCCTTTTACTCCCTCACAGCTCAGCAAAGTCTTGCTATTTCAGATTTAGAATGGTAGGTCTGAGGGAGCTGCTACAGAAAGGAGGACTTCTAAGTAGCCTATTCCCAAGTGTTTACAGAGTAAGGACATGTCCACACTGAGGATATGCTTGCCCTAGCTTTGCTATCAATATCTACTGGCAGATGGAGAGGAGTGGAGAAAGAGACACTGATGTTGAACTTCAGAAGCCACAAGTAGCAGTGTAAGGAGGCCCTGCTATATATGCTATGCACCTCTTAAAATTCTATTCACAGGTAGGCATTGTGATGCATGCCTGTAATCTCAGCTATGTGAGAGGTAGAAACAAAAGGGTTTCTGTTGAAGGCCAGCCCAGGCAAAATGTTAGCAAGACCTTATCTCAAAAATAAGCCAGGCATGGTGGTGCATGCCTGTAATCTCAGCTATACCAGAGGTGGAGGTAGGAGGATCAAGCTTGGAAGTTAGCTGAGGGAAAAGCATAAGACCCTGTCTGGGGGTATAGCTCAAGTAGTAGAGTGCCTGCCTAGCAAGTGTGAGGTCCTGAGTTCAAACCCCAGTACTGGAAGGAAGGAAGGCAGGCAGGCGAGAGAGACAGAGAGAGAGAGAGAGAGAGGGAGAGAGAGAGAGAGTGAGTCAGAGAGACAGAGATAGAAAGAAATCCAATTCTCCAACAGAGATGCTTTGCCTTCCTTAATGGGACATCCAAGAAAGACTAAATACTGGGGTCTTGTCCCAGAATTAAATTGAAATTCAAGATTATGGGGCTACAAATCATTTTTTACCATTGCTTCTAGAAGGAAAAATGTCTAAATGTTTCCTTTGTTCTATAAGGAATTGTTGGCATGAAACTCAAAATAATTTCTTTCTGTTTAATAAGTTTTCAGCTATGTTTTTGGTTCAATAACAGTTGTAAGGGAACCAGAGCTGTAAATCAGTGGGCTGGGTTCCATCGTATGTAAATAAGAACAAACAGCAGATGGAAGGGGGGGAGCCTCACAGCTATTTCTTCTCAACTTAGTAAAAAACATTAAAAGAAGAGAAACCTCAGTTTGTGATTAGGGCCTGATAAAAATGTGAAATGAAGACAGAGCAAAGGTCCTTTAAAGATCATTAAGTTTGTACCTTGAAAGTTTGTCTACACATTGGGATCTTGGGGAAGAGCAGGAAGCATTAAAAATTGTGGCAAAAAGAAAAAAATAAAAAATTTAAAAATTATGGGGCCCAGGCACTGGGATGCTCACATCATTGGTATAAGGTCCAGCCTAGGTGATTTGAATGTGCAGGTAGGGTTGAATGATACCTACTGGTCTAGGGGAAGTCATTCATTTTACAAATAACAAAATTATGATTTGATGATCTGTTCAAGCTCACACAGCTAGTGAGGTTCAGAGCCAGGCCCTAACCACACAGCTAAAATGACAATTGTGAATTCAGAGCTTCTAAGAGCAACAGAGGTTTTCTCCATAAATCAAAGGAAAGGTCCAGGGAAGTAGAAAGGAACCAACTGAAAGATGTATAAGTCACCATTTCAAACAGAAAGCCCCCTAAGGAGGATGTGAAAATTATAAGAAAATCTTCAGGAACTAGATCTTTGGCCTATGCAGTCTTTACCACCCCTAAATCTTTATGATTTCATCAAGCAGTAATGTTATCAGCGAGGCATTACCTGCATGTAGAACTTTTAAACCTGTTGAACTCGCCATAAGAAAAGGACTAAGGTAGAAAGGAGAAAAATGGAGGGGATGAACAAGTTTGGGGTACAATATATATATATGTGTATATATATACAATATATATATTTGGGGTACAATATATATGTATATATATATATATATATACATATATATATATACACATTGTATATACACAAGGAAATGTCATAATCAAACTGCCTGTATAGCTATCTTAAACAAACAAAAGTATCTTATTTCAAAAACAGAGAACAGGAAGGTAAAACAGGTCCTGTCTGGGGGGGTGGTACCGGTAGGAGGGGGGAGGGTATAAGGAAAGGGTGTAGGATGGTGAATATGGTGGAATATTATGTACACATGTATGAAAATGGAAAAATGAGACCTGTTGAAAGTATTCCAGGAATGGGAGGGAGGATAAGGAGAATGATGGAGGGGTGAATTCAACTATGATATACTGTAAGAACTTTTGTAAACATCACAATGTACCATCAGTACAACAATAATATGATAATACAAAATTTTTTAAAAGAAAGAGAAATAACATCATCCCAAATTAGGGAGGGGTAATGGGAATGGAAGGAAATATGATTAAGATTTTAAGTAAGGGTAGGAGGATGAATATGGCGCAAATAATGTATACACATCTATGCAAATACAAAAATGATTCCTGTTGAAACTGTTCCAGGAATCAGGGGAGGGGGAATGAAAGAGAGCAGTGGAGGGGGTGAATTCAAGTATGATATATTTGATATATTGTAAGAACATTTGTAAATGCTACAATGTACCCCCACCCAGCACAAGAATAAAAAACAAATGAAAAGTCATCACCAAAAAAAAAAAGATTGCAAGTAAGTAGCAAGATTGATTTGAGAGATTTAGTGAGCAAATGAAAGCAATCAGGTGATTAACTGTATGTGGGGACATAGGGAAAGTGGAGAGTGTCAGATTAATTCCTAGCTCTAGGTTTGGACAACTCAGTGGATGCTGCCATCATTATCTAAGAGGAGGAACATTGGAAGAGAAAGAGGGCTGGGGACAGACACCAGACCACAGTAGGACAAGGCGTGCATGGGAAGTGTAGACAGCCAATCTGTATGGCCAAGTTGAGGAGTTTGTCTATGAAAGAGAGCAAAGATAGGAGAGGAGTGGACTTGGGGTCAAGGGAGGGGTCTGAGGGTTTGCATTTTGGGCATATGTTTCCTGCTGCTGCTGCTATTTTTATCATTACTGCTTCTGAATGTGTGAGATACTTGACTGTGTTTAAATACCAAAAGAAAGGATCCAGTGAGACGGAAAAGGTTGAAAATATGGGAGAGAAAAAAGCCGTCTATTGTCTCTGAAAGGACAAAGGAGCAGATGGGATCCAGAGATTATCTAGAAGGATTTGCCTTAGAAGAGAGGAGTATGAGAGGAGAAAACAATGAAGTGATTGCAGATGTAGCTCAATTATAGAGCACTTGCCTAGCATGTACACAAAGACCTGGGTTTGAGCCCCAGCACTGCCAAGAAAAACAGGAAGTATGAAGTTGAGATAGCCTTTGTACAATTATATTTGAAATAGGATCGAAGTCTGCTAAAAAGGGTTTCTCTAAAAAATTGGATTAATTCACACGTAACCATGGACATCCTGGCAGCATGAGCATACTGCTAGAAGAAGGGTATTTGCAGATAAAGAAAAAAGAACACTAGAAGTTTTTTCTCAATATGTTGGTCCAGCATATAGCAATAATAGAAAGCACCTAGTAAATAAGTCAAAAGCTGAACATCACCAAGGAAAGAATTTGTTTGGGGCAAAGGTGTAGGAAAACTAACCCTTTCATTGTGGTTTAAGATGATTGATCAAACGAAGCAAAAGCACTTTCTAAACCAAAGAGACCTTTGGCAAATTTTGCAACGACTCTTAAGTCGTTGTGCCCCTATTCTCTTTGGGGTATTTTTATGAAGTATGCCCTTATTATTAAAATGGGTCTAAGTGCTTCTAAATCCTTCTTTCTAAGCAGCTTGGTTTCATAGGACCCTCCCTGGGGTCCTTAAAGGTTTAAGCACATTGCATAGGTTTTCAAAGCTTTTTGTCTATAACTTGCTGACTGGCATTCCAAATGGAAATGCACAGAGGCTAAAGATTTCAGCTCACTGTCTGGATGAAGCATGAGAAATAGTTCACTCATATGCAGCTTCCTCCTTCTTCTGCCTTTCCTTCCCTCCCCTACCCCCAGCACCTCTTCTCCCCCAAACATCCACACTTTGATAACTCACTTTGTTTGTGGCCCACTCAGATGTCAAAATATAATTAAATTACTTTTTGCTTTTTGTTTTACCATGAGCCTCAGTTGATCTTTGCCCTTGAGAGAAACTTCCTGACCCAACCCCATCTCAAGTTCAAGTTCTCTCTCTCTCTCTCTCTCTCTCTCTCTCTGATGTTACAGATTTATTGTACAACATTTTCTGTGAAATGGTGCTGAACTAGCCTAGCAGACTTCAAGAACAAGGGAAATCTTTGAATGCAAATAAGAGAAATAATGATTTTAGCATGCTGGAACTAGGAAGATAAATCACTGAACGCTTCTGATTTTTATCTTTAGACTACTCTACAGCATCACCTAATAACATCACCTTCAGTCAAGTCATATTCCCTGAGGCAGCAAGTCTGACACAATTTTAAAATAAGAAAAAAGAGTGAAATAGTATTTCTTCATCAAACCTTCACCTAATGCCCCAACCAGCCATCATATAGCAATAACTTAAGTAGGAGTCATCAGGTTAAGTTCT